TTGGACTCAGATCTGTTGGTCTATAAAGTTCATGCTTTTGTACTAACTCATCTCATCATACTAGAGCGTGAACATCACTCCCAACAAGTATGCTGTTGCCCTGTCAAAGGTGCTGACTTGCCTTTGGACTATAAAATCTTATTCCTGATACTTTAGTTTGCTAGATTCTACTTTCAGAAACATTTTTACCTATTACATTTAATCTTTACAAGCCAACTGTTGAATAGATAATTTTTCCATTGTATACTAATGAAGGAAACTGAGTATCCCTGAGGAGTCACAGTTTTAAAGATCAGTGATACTGATTGGAACGCAAGCCTTCTGAATTTAAAAGTAATTGAGTTTACCAGCGAGAATCAGAAAGACTGAACAAATGGTATCTAGAACAAGAAGGAGCCCTGTAAGGCCCTCTTTAAAGCTTTTTTTTTTTTTAATGTATAACTGCTCAGTTTATTTCTCCACATCCCATACTCTTCTATCATGGATAGACTAGGATCATTTCCCAGTGCACTTCTGAACTACTGAGTTTTCTGAATAGAGGCATCCGTCGGTACTACCCAGCTCATGACTGGTGCTCCATGTCAAGCATGTGCTGTCCTCATTTACATGGGTACATAAAAATACAAAGTGCAGCAAACCACTAATTCACCTACTGTGTGGTATGTTTTTTTATATGAAAACTGAGAGATTATGTAAGAAAAAGTGTAATTTTGACAAGATATTTCTGATGTGACTTAGAATGAGTTGCAAAAATTGTCACACAGGAGTATTATTTGGGGAAATAATACTTTGTTTTAAACAGTTAAAACTGGTATTTGTACTTAGTTTGGTCTTATATGTTATAGTTTTGAGTTTATATATATTTTTTTCTCCTATTTGGGTCTTCATTACAGTTTATTTTCTTTCTTTTTGAATTTTGGAAGCCAGTTCATTCTTTTTCTACTCAAAGTAAGTTTAGTACTTCTAAGTTTGTATTATTTTAAAGGAATTTGATGTGTGATTTAAAACATTTAGCTATCAAATAACAATAAACTGATTAATATTAAGGTTAATTTTTTAAACAAAGATTCAACTTTGTACATTTGGAATCAGTTGTTGCACTTTTAATCCAGAAACCTAGATTGAGAAACAAATACATCTATTAAGAATATAAGTTAAGTGGTACTTTTGGCAGATAAATATCAAAAACTTGTAAGATTTTAGATCTGGAGGGATCTTGGTATCACCTTATCCAGTGGTGGCCTTATTTTATAGGGATAAATTTCATGGCCTAGGTACTGCTGTTGGACTGTTAAATTTGGAGAATATTCAAAACTTAGTTTCTGTATGTTTTAGGGGGTGGAAGGGGAGATGATCTAAGGGGTCAGTGATCATCCAGGTGGGAAATAAAAAGATTTGTGACATCTTTTTAAAAATGTTCTGCCTTCTGAGTTATGAGGAGTTAAAAATATTCTAATTTGCTAAATAAAGTGAGGAGAAAGAAGTCCAAGAACTTGGCTGGTTTCTTTGAAAGTTAGTAATAGAGCCTAGATTAAAAACATAGCCTTGAGTATCAAGACAGCTTTTAATTTATATAATGTCAATCACTGTAACCACTGTTTGGCCTACTGAGCCATGCTGCCCTTACACTACTACCCCTGTGATGCTACCTGGAGCAGGGTCAGCTAGTGAGCCTGTGAGGGTAAGCAAGTGAAATAACAAGAAGAAATGTCTGAGAAGGGTCCCTAAGGGTAAACCAAGAGACAAATGGTGGTATCTTAATTCTTCTAAACCTAAGTGGTTTGTCTTACAGTAGCAGGAGCCATTCTACTAATGGAAACACCAGGGTTCATGAAAATTTTCAGAAAGATAAAGCAATCCCATAGCATTCAGTGAGTTAATGGCTCGCAAAGGAGTTAAAGCCTAAATGGTTTAGACATTGCCAAACTAGACTACACCTTGCCTCAAGATAATGGAAATAGAAACATTCAAATGCTTTTAGCCTCTTGGAAGTATATGTGATATAGAAAAATGAAGTTGATGCTGAAAGGCCTGTAGCTACATTTAAAATACAAAATGCTTAAAAGCAAATATGTTTTGCAGTGTTTCCATAATAAGTGCCCCTCTTTGAACTGAACTAGTTTCCATAAGAATGTGTTATTTTAGGTAAATACAGATGTAAAAGTGTGTTCACGTGATAAGTGAATGAGCTGACAGTTTGTCTTTTATCATTTAGCCCACAGAATAACTCTATGAAGTGATTCTGTCATTTATCTCCATTCTCAGGCATAGAAACGAGGGATTAGAGAATTCAAGTAATTTGTCCAGAATCACAGACCAGTAAGTGAGGAAGCCAGGAGTTTAATTCAAGAGTGTTAGACTCCAAACCCAAGCAACCACTGAGAGTTACTGCTTCATTTAACTAAACTTAAGTCCATAGAACATTACCCAATGTGTGTAGCCTTTCTTTATGAAGTTTTCATGATTTACTTTTAAATCACTGGCATATAATAAATGGTATGCTAAGATTAACCAGTAGTAGTAGGAAAATCAAATTCAGAATTTCAGTTAGAAGAGCATCTGGGGCAGTAAAACCTCTTTAATTTAACAGTCTGGAAGGCTGAAGCCTTAGAAGCTGACTAATAATAGCAGTATTCCCTATGAGAAGTTCGCAATATTTTAGAGTAAACACTAAACAAAATAAATGGTTCTACACCAGGTTTTCATTGCATTTGAATAAAACATTTTAAAAATTATTCAGTGTAAATTCTTATACATCTTTGCATCCTAAGTGCTTTGTATAATGCCTGCTTAAGCACATAAAATAGGGACCACGTTTTTTAATCAAACAACTGTAATCATAGATATAAGATTGAAATAATGTATAACTTACTACATGGTAATTTTTAAGTGTCTCTAAATATTCCTCAGTTAGGAACATAGTTTTATACTGTATCAGCAATAAAAGGCTTTGGTTACAGTGTGGCTTTTTTGATAAATTTTTAAAAAATTGTTTCAGCTTTGGAAACAGAGAAACCTAACAAAGATTTAATACTATAAAAAGAAATAATATACCTGAAGCATTAGGCATACACTGAAAATTATTTACCAAAACCTGAAATTAGTAGGAAATATTCCCTTATTTGGGAAATTTCTCTTAATAGAAGTCTTAGGATTCAGTTAAAATACACAGAAGATAAGTTACAGCAAGTGTTGGTAGGATACTACTTGAAAACTTAAAATTTGAAAATTCAAGTCTTGTTTCTCTCCTGAGAAAAATTTTGTTATATCCATCTTATACTTTATAAATTCATCTTATACTTTGATATTTTAATTCAATCTACTTTTTCTCTCTTGTATAGTTACTGCTAACGTTTTTTAAAATGCTGTTGATTTCAAAGAGAAGTAAGTAATGTTTAAAAGATGTGAAGCATTTAATCTTTGAATGCTGGAACCACTTTTAAAATATTGTAGGCACATCTGTATTACATTACATAGGGAAAAGAATGTATTCGTTCTCCGGCCTTCAGGCACTAGGGTGGCTGGTTTAGGAAAACTCAGTACTTTGCTTTTCAACATAAAAAATATTCTGATTCTAAAATGAAGAATTTACTTCAGGGGTTGGGCATATGTCAGGCAGACATAAGTAAAGTTTTGGTTTTACTGTTCTCTCACTTGTTACCTACTTCTTAAAAAGAAATCAGTTTTTATAGCAGCTGTGGCTTTGCATTTTATTAAGCACTTATGTTTTTTTCCTTTATTTGAAAACTGTTGCTCAGGACAAACTTAAAGAAATCACTATACCAAAAGTTCTTAATAAGTATGCTTAAAGTCCCAGTTAGGTGTGAGTTAAAGTGCAAATAATTTGTTACTAATTAAGAAATACCAAAGTTTTTGAATCATTTATTCTTAAAACAAAATTAGAGCAGATTCAAATGTGTCCCAGTTGTGACCTTACTCTTCTGATCACTTGTGTTCCAGTGTGCTTTCTTGATGGGGAGGGAAAAAGCTGGAGTTAAAACTGTCAGCCTGGGTGTCTCTTGGGCTGTGTGTTTTGCCTGTGAATTTCATCCCTGATTGGTGGAGATGGAGAAAAAATGTTGGAGAACTTCTGCACTACACTGGTGGACATCTTCTCAACTGTTTCTTCTTTGACATGATAAGATGTTCACTTGCCAACACATTCCCATGTACAGTTCCTAGTGAGCAAGCTGAAATTCCACTTTCTCTCTTACACCAGAAAGCTAACAAGGAAGAATATTCAGAGTACACCTTGAATCAACTCATTCTTTTTAAGTAATGACCTGAGAATTTCATACTTTAAGGAATATTAGCATCTAATTATCTGTGACACATTTGGCAGCTGTATCATGAAACCATGACTGAAAAAACTCCATATTTCTTCAATTTTGTGCTTCAGCCTCATTCAGAAACCCAAACCTGGTTTTTTAAAAACTCAAAATAAAGAATGCCAAATTTAATTGTATGGCAATATAAATTTCTGGAAATTATTTATAATTAGAATGAACTTTTTACAGAAGTATTTAGTAGCCAGTTATTTTACTACCATATATCACTAGAAATTATTTATGATGGGAGAGTTGTCTGTTTTTTTTTTTTAAGGCTTAAACTAAAAATACTTGAGGAACTTGAATTCTTAGCTAGTCATTGTTTTCTCAAAGAAAAATTCACAACACATTAAACATAAATATTACATAAAAGTTAGTCTGTTGTAGAGCAAGTTATTCCTTACTTGATATGAAAATGAGTGACTTGTTTTAATGCTTTTCTAATATCAAATTATTTTATATGCTTTTGATTTAGTTTTGGAACCTCTATAATAATAACTTTTTACCTGGTTTTCTTAAAGGTATTAAACTTTACTATATTACAAGGAAATAACTACTGAATCATCACTATTTAAAATTTTTTTAATTTAAGGGATTGTCTGATACATTTTACTTTCAGTAATTTTGAATATTAAGGGGTTTTTGCATTTATTGTTGTTTTGCTTTTTTAAGATATTATGAACTAGATCCTTACAAAAGTCTTCTTGACAATTTGAGGGACAAAGTGATCATTGAGTACCCAACATTACATGTGGTTTTAAAAGAATCCAGTAATGACATGAAAGTCCTTCACCAAGGTAAGTGTATATTTGTTCCTTAGATGCTTAGAATAACTACAAAGGTCCATTAATTTAGAAGCAGCAAGTAAATTTCTCCATTGTTCCAGGATAACTCAAGCAAATATATGAATGTCTTTATTTCTTTTTGTATGTGTTTTCTCACTGTATTTATATACTTGACTTAATTTACTCTATAGCTATAGTTAATACTATGAAGAACCAGTAATATTTTTATCATGTAAGACATTTAAGCTTATAATATAAATTTTAAAATGAATTAATTGGTTTGAATATCTGGCTATAAAAGGACATTTTTTGCATGATTGGAGTTCTGTGGGTTACCATTTTTTTAAAAAGCCAGTCGTCTTTAAGTAAAAGTCTGTCCATGATCAGATAAATTTGGTCCCTAATGAAAACTTCTTTAGCAATTTCTAAGATGAGGGATTACAGACATTTTCAGCAGTATATATTTCAACCTATATATAAGAGCTTTTTTTCTTGGCAAAAGTTAATAGGCAATTTTTTCAAAGTGGCTAAAATTTTGTCAGTGCCACAATATGAAACTAGATTTATAATTAACAAACATGAAGTTTCTAATAATCATTTATGGGTATCAGAATTCTTGATGTATCACAGTTTGAGAGTATCCAATTTTATTTTCTCAAATTAAATTAGAAATTTGTTTTAAATGACCAGTTTCACTGTATTTAAAGCTGTGTAAAAACCTTACTTTTTCCTTAATATAATTCACATCACTCTCTAAATGTTGGTTTCAGGGAAAGTTGTTTAGTAATGTGGGTTACTAGCCAGGGCAAACATTGTCTCTGTAAATAAACACAGCACACACAGATCCTCTTTCACCTTATTTAGGAATGCATATTGAAGTAAGACTTCCTGTAATGAAGCAAAAAGAAAAGGGATTTTTGTAGTGTACTTGGAATCTTATTAAGTAAAACTTGCTAATTTTTGGTGTGTGTTTATGATGTTTGACTTACAGGAAGCAAAAGTAATTTATGCTTTCAATATAGAGGATTATTTAGAGCTGCTGTAGCAAGGAACTAAAGATCTGACAGGATTTAAAGACTCTATCATTTATGTCATGTCATAAGTACACACACTTTAGAAATAATGCCAGGTCCTCCTTTGCATGCCTTTCTTTGTGTAAGCATGGCTAGGTGTTTTGCCTTTGTACCGTCTCTCACAGCTTTGGGTACTGTGCAGGGTGGTCCCTTAATGCAGGAGGATGATTATAGAAGAACAGAGCATTTTCTTTGGAAAGCCTTGAAATTCTTTCTCTCTCTGGAAGCAAAAAGTTGGATTCTGGTCTTGAGTTCAAAGCACAAGGTGTCTCTCTTCCAGTTTGGGGAAAATGTGTTTCTGGGCTGGGATTCAGTAGTTTTCACACATGATGTTTGTTAGAATGTTTGTGACGATTATAGTTTGCCAGTTTATTTTTTCAACAGTCTGCCTGTATTGATGGGCAATAGGCAAGTTTATTTGTTTGCTTTTTGCTTTTTAAGGAATGTAAAAGGTTGACTGAAAATGTAAGCCATTAAGGTAGCCCACTAGATTGGAGATGTGGGGTGCTGAACACCCATCTTGTTTCAGTCCAGTGGGAAGTGCTCAGAATGGTATTATTACCTTCACAGGTCTTTGTTTGCCATAGTTAGCAAGTAGATTTAAGTGGCTTGATAAAAACATACAGCATTTCAGTATAAGGAAAACAGAATGGAGCTCTGTTAAAAAATGAAAACTGGGCAACTTCAGTAAGAAAGGAAAAGGAAGAGTTTTCCCCAAACTGCAGTGCCAAATACTACAAAGATCCATTAATTTAAAAATAGCAAATAAGTTTCTCCATTGTTCTAAGATAACTCAAAATTAGAAAATACTTCTTCTACCTTTTGAGAAGGAATCCAACCTCAAATTGATAATTTGAATTAGGGAAAATACCTGGCATAGCAGCTACTCATACATCCATCTCTTGTTGGTCCAATAAATCCTTTCATCCATTCTCCTCCTTCTTCCTCCCCTCACTTCTCCATATCCCTCTTTTCCTTCCTTTCATTGTCAGTGTGTGTGAGAGGAAGGGAGAGAAGGGAAAGAATGGCTCTTAGGTGCAAGAACACGTGTAAGCTTTACGGTGAAGTGGTGCTGTGACGGACTCTGCGTGAAGTGCACAGAGAGCCAGAGGAGGAAAGACCGGCATCTGAATCGTGGAGGCCCTTGGGGGACTCTGTCAGGAGTTTATAAAACCCCATAAGGACTGGAACCATATCTGGGATTGAACCAGTTTCAATGCCTCACTCATAAAAAGAACTCAGTAAACACCAGTTGAGTTGCTGGTATAATCTCAAATCTTAGGTTCCATGAGCAAATACCAGGAACTTGGCTGTTGGAATACAAGGCAAGATCCAGGTTTATTGTTCTAGCAGCAGCTCGTTTTAGCTGTGGACGCTTCAACATTCACTGTTCTCTCTGAGCTTTATTTACCTTATTTACATAATGGGAAGAAACTGCTATAAGCCTCAAGCAAAATAATCTTTATTTTAACCTTACTTTTCACAGTGTTTTCACTGTACAGTGAAATAAATAGAGCAGTTACTCTGGTTCCCATTTTGCAGATTAAGAGAAAAAAGATAGAGTGACTTGCATTTATATTGGTTCAGCAAACATGCTACACTGGGGGAGTAGATACAGGGAGGAAAGGTCTAGTCTCTATCCTCAGGGGCGCACAGTGAGTGAATCAGTCTTGTTTGTTCTGTTCGAGACAGCTCTTTTAAAAGAGCTCCATTTCCACTGTGAGTCTTCTTTCCTGTGAAAGGAAGGAGATGGCGATTAGCTAGTCTTCTGTCAGCCCACATGCACTCAACATATACTGACCTTCAATTTTAAATTTTAAAAAAATCATGGAAAAATTTATTCCAACCACACGTGGCCAGTCTGTGTGATAGTAGTGATATATTCAGTAGTACAAGTATAGGATCATTACCACATTGTGAAGTGACCATTCCCAAGTCTTCCACAGAATCAGGAAGGATGTTAGCTCACAAAATATAATTGCCACTCTCAGACATTATTTCTCTATTTATTGTGGCCAGAATGGTATAAGTTAGCTGCCTGAGACGTGACATGGTTGGTCTGTCCCCATGAGCAGTGCTGTTGGTATGCATCAGGAGGGAGGAGAGAAGAGGGAAAAACAGACCAGGCCGAACAGAAACAGTACAAACACTTGACTATGTTAAAAATGTTTGCTTATTTTTTTTCAGTGAAAAGTGAATCTAACAACACTGGCAATGAAAATTGACTACTTCTTCTGGAGGAAGAAGATGAAAACTCAGACAATTGCAGAGGACAGTGCATTGACTAGTTTGATATTTTGGTGTATTTTCAATGGGTGGTTAGTATTCTTTGTTTCTCTAGAAAATAATTCATTAAAAAAAATTTTTTTTTAATGTGTTTTCTGGGGTCTTGAATAGCCTTCTAAGGCTCTCCTTCCTATTAACAATGCTTTTTTTTGCATCTGATAGGCATAGTGCTTATTTTAATTAGGTCCTGGCTTTTAATATGCTTAATAGGCTGAAAACTTCTCATTTATTATTTTAATACAAGACCAAACCCAAGGATCAACGGTGTTAGCCACAAAGTTGGCATTCTCTTTGGTGGAACCTCACTCAGCAAAGACCATGGAGAGCGCCATGTAGCCACAGGACTAATCCATCAATTGTCTGTTCTTGTCTTTGGGATTTATATGTAACTTATCCTCGAAACTACTGAATGCATGCTTTATACTTGGTTAGCACCCAGTATGATGTCATGTATAAAGGCTGAGTAAATACTATTCACTACAATTTCTAATATTCAGTTCAGAAAATGACCAGCTCTGCATTGTTGTTCATTCCATCAGTGCTCACAAATTTGGCCCTACTCACTCACACCATGAGGTGTGGCCTTACTATGAATTCTGTGCCTTTCATTCCAGTCTTACTCCACTCTTGTCATTATCACACAGGAGTGTTGTGATGAGCAGTTTTATGCTGGGTTTGAAACATTAGCAATAACTAAAGAAAAAACACTAGGATCTCTTCAAAAGTGTTATTGGAATGTATATGTGTATTTATGTATATACATGGCTTAATTTATACCTTATGGCAGCTCTGTATACATTATGATCTAACATACTAATATTAAGGTGTGCTAGTTTTATTGGAACTTATAGTTATGAAATTGCAGTATAGCTATAAAAGAGTAAAGATTATTACATCTGTGTTGCATCTGTGTACTTACATAGTTAAGAAAACAGTGATAAAATTGGACATTAGTGAAATCCATTTTTCATTTACAACTGGCAAAATTTGAGACCAAAAGAAAACCAGAAGCATTGAATCAAGAGACTTGGAAAGATTAGATATGAAAAAATAGTGAAAAGAGGAGCATAGGAGAAACTTGTACAACACAGATACAACTTGGGTCAAAATAGAAGAAGAGAATCCAAAGATAGTAATGCCACAAAGACCCGGTATAAAACTACTAATGAAAATGTGATTCATAGACAATAATGCCTTGTACTTTGAGAAATATATGTACTTCCTAAAGCAACTTCAGAAATCTTCTCCCTCATACAGGAAAAAAGGAATTTGTAGAATTATATTCACAGTATTACAGGAGAAGACAATTAAGTGGAATTTCAAAGGATTTGTACTCTAAAAGTGAAATTTGTCTTTTTGAAACAGGTAACAAATAGGATGAATTGAATCAGATGTGTCACAGAATTGTTATTGGGAAAAGTGGGATAAAGTACACAAAAAGAACATGTGACCTGAATATCAGGGTGGAGAGGAATTTCCTGACAGTGAAATCTGCTGTGATGTAGTTTCATTTCCAAGAAAAGTGTTGAGTTCCATCCCTCTTAGAATTTAAATTGAAAACTGGACAAAAACCAAAGGGTTTATTTTATCCTGTACTTTCCTCCTGAGCAGAAGGAAAAAGAAGAAAAAATACCCACATGATCAAATGCATCTTTGCCATCTCTGTGCCCTAGAGTTCTGTTAGGCTTTTCACTTTTAGACTGTTCCTTAGTAAGAATTCAACTATCAGAGTTCCCTTAAACATAACTATCAGCTAATTTGGTTAATATGTACATTTATTCCCACAGGGTTTATAATAAGCATGTGTTTCAGTGAATAGACATGTAAATTGCTTGGAGGGTGTGAAATTGGAATAACTCACTGAGAGCCCCAGAAGTTTGTAGTATTGAGACCATTGTTTTTCATAGGCCCTTCCATTTGGAGTCTGGACAAATTCTGATGAATAAACAAACTCCCTGACTCATGTTCAGTTCAACATCCTGCATTTTGTTTATGAATAACATTTTAAAAAGAGAAAAGCTCCACCTGTCGTTTATTTTTTAAACAATGATATCAAAGGAAAAATAGGCCTTTCATAATTGCTAATTATTACATATGGGATTAATAGCCATATTATGGTAAACAAAGTTTGCACCTGTTCATATTACAAATATGAATTAAAGAAAGTTACTATAATAGATATTTAAGGTTCCAAAGTGTAGCTGAGCCAGTTTGTTTCTCTGTATAAAGTAGTGAGATTCAGGTTTCACAATGTATATAGTAATATGTTAAACACAGTACTATAATGCCAGTAATTTCCTCTATAAACTTGGTTTAATTTGGTTGACGTATACAGTGTGTTGTGTCTGATTTCCTGTTAGTTATTAAATTGTAAGTAAAGATACCTAGTCTGCTTTTATGTAGACATATGCTCTTGCATTAAAGTATGTTAAGTTAATTTTCAAATAGGTATTGCACATGTGATTGATTATTAACCAATGGTCCTTCAGTTCCAAGTAACAGAAAATCAAACTGGTATGAATACAAAGGGCAATTTATTGGTTCATATACAGGGAAGTCCATACATGACTGGGTCCAAACACCCAAAGAAGCCATTATTCTATCTCCCTTACTTAGCTCTAATTTTATTTTTTTCCTGGATTGGTTTTCTCTTCCAGGCAGGCTTTGTGTAGATGCTCTTTGCAGTGCATGGCAGTGAGATGAGGATGGTAGATGACAGCCATTAACAGTTTCAGCTCATGTCATCATAACCAAGGCATGGCAGCAAGTGAGTAAAATTTTGGGGGAAGAACTTTGATTTTGCTAGGTTGGATCACATTCCATTTCTGAGCTGATCAGGAGAGGAGTTGCCCTAAAGGAAGGGAAATTGTTAGAAAAAGGAAGCCAGCAAGAGAGAAACGGTGGTAACTGAGAATACAAAAATAACATGTCTTCTGCACCCTATTTGAATTTGAGTAGCAAGAGGTTTCTGATTTGAAATAACATGAGTAAAAATTCAGAATTAACCTGCAAACCCTCATTTCCTTTAACAGGAGATTTTAATTGCTACTGAATGCCATTGTTGCTTTGAGTTGCCATTGTAGACTTTTTAAAAATGCTTCCCATTTGCATTTGACATTATGGTGCTACTGGTTTGATCACATGGACAGCACTGATCCAATCGATTTCCATTACAGATTTGGAAACTTACAGTTTCATCAACATTTGAGAAATACTGATTTTGGAATTAGAGTTGTGCGAGAAGAAAATGCTTCAATGAATGAAGACTACTTAAATAAAAGTAGGCCCTTAAATAAACATTTGGGGGTTTGTACTTAAGACTACAGACTATTTTCTCTCAACTTTGGTCAGGGAAACTATTTAAAGTATGTGTACATACGGTCTTTAAAGTGAACCATGGTGTAAACATTTTCCTTATTGGAGTGTGGCTGGCTGCGCTCATTTTGAACATCATAACTAAATATCCTTTAGCCTTTCATGAGCTACAACACAACTCTACTATTGCCAGTTTTATTTTCTTGTGAATAAAGTACCAAACTCCTTACCCTCCATAACTTGACTCCAACCTAATTTTACAGCTTTTTTTCTTTCTCCTTTCCTTCTACTCCTTCCCCTTTCTCCCTTTCTCCTTTCCCTCTTTTCTCATCCCTTCCCTTCCCACTTCTTAACTCTGTTTCAGTCACACAAGACAACATGAAGGATGTCATGTATGTATCCCAGGCTTTTCCCCCCTGAAGTGCCTTTCTCCTTGCCATCTCCACATGAGCGTCTTCTACTTACCCTTAGAGAGCTAATTTGAGCAGTAAGCTCCTCCCATGTAGAAGTCATAGTTAGGTTCACACTGTATGTGTCTCCTGATTTGACTGATACTAATGCCATACTAGTTGTTAAATGTTTTTAATATCACATGGATAATGAGAGTAATAACTAACATGTATTTACAGTGTACTAAATTCCAAGCACTTCAAGTATATCAACTCATTTAAGATTTCTCACAACAGTCCAATGAAATAGATGCAACCAGGAAGTCCTGTAGTAAGTAGGTGCAAAAAATTCAGTAATACAAAATGGGTTGCATTGTTCCAGGCTGAAGGAAATGACAGGGTGAGCCTGCACTGCTAACTATCCAGAAGTTCCTGTCATCTAAATGTAGGGTAGCAAGTCCTTCCTGTAATTCGGCACCATATGGTGGCACATACCCACTCAGGCTAAAATACCAGTGGGGGCGATTCTGCCTCAGTTTTGTGTCTAACTTGTACTTCTAGGATAACACATTACAACTGGTAATCACTGACAGCTCACAATCCTCCGAGGTAGGTACTGCTATATTTCATTGACTCTTAAATGTCATTAATTATAAGATACGCCATTCTATATAACAGTAAGAAAATGCCAATTATGACATTATTCTTTTTAAAACCTTTTAGAATATTTCTATTCTTTTGAATGTTAATACTTATGTAAAGAGCTCTTTTAGGTATTTTATTTCACAAATCTAACACTCCATAAATTGTAAGACACATCATTTTACATATCACCAAGAACAAAAATGGCTTAATTGTATGACACATCCTGATCTGAGATGTTCAGTATGAAAAAATAGCATAGAATTTATGTAATATGGTATTGGGACCAAATTTTTTATCATCGCATGCTTCTATAAAAACTAAGTGAAATAAACTGGGTAAAGCATTCCTAAATCTTCACCTTCAGTTTGACATTCTTGACCCAGACCTCGTGAAGCAACACTTCTAGTGAATTGTTCCATCATTATCACTGTAATTTTCTTCAAAGTTTCTTGACACCCATCTGCAAGTCTGATTCTGGTGATTTCTTGATCAGAAGGTGTTAATAGATATCTGTCAACATGGCAATGATTTTTGGACTAAATATTGAAGGGTTGCAGTGGTCCATTTCTGCCACAAGAAACAATCACCAAGTCCACGTATGCACAAGCAGTGCCAACTACATGTTGGCTGTGGCCTGGCCAAAACTATTTTAAGACTAAAGATTTCAGAGATGTTGTTTTTCTGAAGTCTAGAGTCAATTAAGTACATTTCATATGGGCAAGGAAACAGGTTCAAACATATTGGTCACATGGAAAGTAAACAAGTTAAGCCAGGATTCAAACTAAGGCAAGTTGGGCTTCAGAGGTTATGTCCTTAACCAACTGGCTACATGGCCTTGCTTGGTGGGTTCCATCCAGGTCTTCAGGCCATCCTAAATTAGCATACTGTTTCATGATGATTTGGAGTGAATACTATAGTTTACTGCTACTTAAAAATGGAAATAATTATTTCAATAGGCTGCTTATTTTTTGAAAAAGTAGGACACTTTTTTCATAATTTGTGAAACTGCTTTTCTTGGAGGTTTTTCTCTTCAGTGATGGACAGCAGACTATTTCTCCTAGCATATTTAGTTCCTGTCTTGAGTATTTAACTGTATTACTCACATATTTTGTTTGGGGCATAAAAACTTCAGTCACTTTGGTTAATTTGAAACCAGCTGCTCAGGCTAATGCCAGTTTCTTTCCGTGGATTCCAGGATTTTATTATCCATTGTCCTTTATGAATAATGCACCTGAGTCGAGCACTGTTTAAGGTGGTTGCAACAGACCTCAGAGAATATGGCTACCCAGGATTACCTGGTGAAGGGGCCAAAATGGAAATGATGTAAGAACACAAAGACAACTGCTAGTGATTGTCACATTGACTTTATGTCAAGGCGCAGGAGGAACATGTGCTTGACATGCTGGTGACCCCTACTGAGAGCTTATGGTCATTGTCTCTGGACAGGACAGGCTTAGGGGGTCAGGTCTTGGGGGAGTTAGGACAACCCCAATAGAAGAAGTATAATTTCAGGACCTTTTGGAACTCTGGGGAAGGCCTTCAGAAATGCAAATGGGATGGTTGGAGAAATCCATGCGAAGAGCAGACAAATGAAAGACCTTGTAAACAGTGAAATGTTAGTCTGAATTCTTAATTTCACAGAATTAAAGGAAGGTTTTTATGCTCTGAACTATATGACCAAGGAGAAGTAAACTAAGCCATGTAGTTTTTGAAAGGAACATTTCCCATCTCCCACAGGTAATGCAGGAACTATCAAATAATGGTTTCACTTTTAATTTAAGTAAAACCTCCTCCCAGGTTTTTGCTAGCATTGGAAGTTATTTTTACCATGAGAAAAGATAGTTACACACCACCTCTTGGTATCACAATTTCTTTTGGCTTCTTGAACAGTTGATTCTAGCTTAAGTCCATATGGAATGAATCTGTGGTGCATAGATAGTCCCTAAAGCCCAATAACTTCTTATTTTTCCTAGAGCCTTGTGCTCCTACCCTTGACTGCTGCTCTGTGTTCCTAAAGAAAAACAGTAGAGTCTGAGCTCTTGTGTTTTGAAGTTTTGGTGGTTGGTTAACCAGTGTGTGATGCTATGCTTCAGGGTCCCTGCCAACACAGGAGAGACAGCAACTTGTTCCATGTTCCTGACAGATTGGAAGGTGTTTTTTCAAATTCTCTGCTTCTGATCTCTTCCTGGAAAGGTTGGTCAGTTATTCAGCCAACATCCTTGGCTTCCACAGCTGGTGCAGCTTAGAAGCCTAAATAGTTTCTGCCACTTTTGGACCCTCACAAACAAAACTTCTAAGCATTAGAAATGGAAAACTTGAGGTGGTGAGGAAAGCCAAGTGAGAGTGGGCGTCCAGTCTTCCAGGTAGTGAGTCAATGGGACTCTGTAAGAAGGAAGCTACTGTTGGTGGCTGACCTGTGTGTGGACAGTCAAAGGGAGAGCATGATCCAGAGGTTCTTTCCTCACTCTCCTAAGTGACAAGGAAAGCAGTTGTGAGGTTTGATTTTTTTTCTAAGCAATCAAATTCTCTGTTCCCCTACCAAACTTGTGTGCCCATAGGAAAAGGAAAGCAAGTTATTTCTCAGCTCCTTTAGTGCATCAAAAATACTTTTACTTGAAATTGGGTGGCTATAACTTAGCCACCCAAAAGTATTTAATATTCTGTAATTCTTTAGTCCTATTTAATATTTCTAATAAGCGTGGTAATGACTTTATAAAGCTTAGGCCAAGTAATGGCACACGTATCAGTTATATTAATGGTAAAAGTTATTGTTTACTACCCAACATGCACCTCCCCAGCCCCCTCTTGGTAACCATACCTTGAGTTCTGGGAAAGTACCAGCTCCTGACCTCTGCCATCTGCTACAGGTTGGATAAGCCCCTAAAGCTCCTGGGTGGGCTATCATTAGCCTGAACAGATCAGAGTATCCACTCCTGTGATTACGTTTGGTTCAAACTCTGCAGGTGATCTATGCGGGTGCCAGCTGAGGAACTACAGCACAGGCAGGACATAGACTCTCCCTGCTGTACAGGTATAAGGCCAAAGGGAGGGTAGCCGATCTTGCTGTTGTAAGGAGAGCCAGCCTGAGGCGGCACA